GTTTGGAAAAAATCTGAGATTGAACAGCTTTTCCTGGTTGCCTTTATTTTCAGATGATAATGCACATATTTGCTATCATGGAATTCTTTTATATCAGTGGATTTTATTTCAAGAAAGGTACCTTTTACCTTAATTAATAAATGGATAAAAGAATGTTCATATTAAGCTGTTACTCTGGTAAATTTTTTTTTTGCTATAAATACATTCTAATATACTAATATTGTGAGGTTTTCTTGATCTAGAGGTTTTTTTTTTCCTTTTTTTCTTTTTGGTTTTTTGAGACAGGGTTTCTCTGTGTAGCCTTGGCTGACCTGGAACTCTCTCTGTATACCAGACCAGTCTCAAACCCACAGAAATCTGCCTGCCTCTGCCTTCCTAGTGCTGGGATTAAAGGCTTGTCCCACACTGAACTGTGGAAGGTTTTTTCTTAATAGAAATATTTTTCAACGTAAATATGAGATCACAATCAAATCTAAATTTTAAAAGTTTTAAAAATCAGCATTTAAAAAATAAATAAATAAATCAGCATCTGCAATTCATTTATTGATAGATATACCATATTTTTTCTTTCATACTTCTCTGTACAGTAAGAGTTGATACTAAGACTAAAAAAAATGTTGGGCAGGATATAGTAAGACCACTTGCTGATCTTCAAGAAGCCCCAAGTTTGGTTTCCAGTATTCACATCACTGGTTTTTGAAACAATGTTCTTTTATAAACTATCTTCAAGAAAATAAAATGTATCAGTCATCAGTAAGTATGCCTTTATATAGTTCATTAAAAGGAAACTGTAAGATTTGGACACATGTAGCAAATAAGCTTAACAGTTAAGGAAAGAAGACTCAAAATTTGTAGACATTAGGAATAAGAGTATAATTGACATTAAACAATAATAAATTCTTAACAAAATAGATAAGCTGGTATTTTGATGGGAATTTCATTGAAATTGTAGATTGCTTTTGGTAGGATGGCCATTTTCACTATGTTAATCCTACCAATCCATGAGCATGGGAGATTTTTCCATATTCTCATATCTTCTTCAATTTCTTTCTTCAGAGACTTGAAGTTCTTTTCTTTTTTTTTTTTTTTACATTTTATTTTATTTTATTTTTATTTTTAGTTACATTTTGTTAACTCTGTGTCCCAGCTGTATCCCGCTCCCTCATTCCCTCCCCAACCCCACACTCCCTCCCTGGTCTCCTCCCTGCCCCTTTCCAAGTCCACTGATAGGGGAGGACCTCCTCCCCTTTCATCTGACCCTGTTTTATCAGGTATCTTCAGGGAAGGCTGCAAAGTCCTCCTCTGTGGCCTAACAGACTGCTCCTCCCCTGGGGGGGGGGGTGTCAAACAGCCTGCCCTTGAGATCCTGTTAGAAATAGTCCGTGTTCCCCTTACTTTGGAAAACTACTTGGTTACTGAGCTACCACGGGCCACATCCGAGCAGAAGTTCTAGGTTATATCCATAGATGGTCCTTGGTTGAGTGTCAGTCTCAGAAAAGACCCTGTGCCCAGATATATTTGGTCCTTGTAGAGCTCCTATCCTTTCCATATCATACTAACTTCCCTTCTTTCATATGATTTCCCTGCACTCTGCCGAGGGTTTGGTTATGAGTCTTAGTGTCTGCTTTGAAACACTGCTAGGTAGAGTCTTTCAGATGCCTTTTGTGGTAGACTCCTGTCATAAGTTCAATGCACATCCCATTTGTCTTTCTAAATGAGGATTAATCACCTTCGCCTGTGTCCACTTTCTTGATTATCTTCTTTAGGTGTGTAGATTTCATTATGTTCATATTAAAGAAGGGAAGTTAGTATGATATGGAAAGGATAGGAGCTCTACAAGGACCAAACATATCTGGGCACAGGGTCTTTTCTGAGACTGACACTCAACCAAGGACCATCTATGGATATAACCTAGAACTTCTGCTCGGATGTGGCCTGTGGTAGCTCAGTAACCAAGTAGTTTCCCAAAGTAAGGGGAACACGGACTATTTCTAACAGGATCTCAAGGGCAGGCTGTTTGACACCCCCCCCAGGGGAGGAGCAGTCTGTTAGGCCACAGAGGAGGACTTTGCAGCCAGCCCTGAAGATACCTGATAAAACAGGGTCAAATGAAAGGGGAGGAGGTCCTCCCCTATCAGTGGACTTGGAAAGGGGCAGGGAGGAGACCAGGGAGGGAGTGTGGGGTTGGGGAGGGAATGAGGGAGCGGGATACAGCTGGGACACAGAGTTAACAAAATGTAACTAAAAAGAAAAAAATAATAAAAAAATAATAAAAAAAAGAAACTCATTTTTCAATTTTCCACTTAAGTTCTATTGTACCAAAACATCCATGTTATCCAAAGTATCAGGAAAAGTGAGTATGATAATTTCAGCATTAAGGTAATTAAGTTACATTTTGATATTGATATAGTTTTCAAGAAACTATAACATACAAAAATTTTCTTTCATTTTTAAGTGAGTTTCTCGATATGAAGCTATTCAACCAGATTTTTATTTTCTTCAACAAATAATAAATGCTCTTTGGAAAAGTGTCAATGGTTTCTACTCCTATGTAATACACAATACTCTTAGCATTCTGACTTCCTTTTTGTTGCTTTCATTTCTTCCATACTTCAAAATTCTCAGCTTCATTCTCTATTTTCTTTCTCTAGTATACTTGAGGTTTTAGATGCATGACAGAATGGAACACACTGTGTATATAAGAGCGGTCCTGTGGTTGTACCACAATCACTTTAGTGACCAAGCCATCTACCCAGCTTCATGTGGTCTGCTTTTAATGGTTCTTAAGTGGAAGCTGCAGTTCTATTTTTAAAACAAACTCTATTTATCCAAAGAAAAATACGTTGATATTTTAAAGGAATGTTATGGCTAATACAATTTTTAAGCTTCCACAATTGCTATTGTTCTGGTTTCTCATAATCCATCTAGGATGGATTTAATGACCCTGATTTTGACTTTTCAAGTAATGTTCTTTTATTAGAAAAGCTACTACATTCCAATGTGATCATGTTTTCAGCATAAAATTCTTTAATAAGCTCTTGATTACTGTAGGAGTCTCAAAACTCTACTACAAACTCCTGACCTAACCCTGCCTGCATCTACAAATATCGACTTTTCCTCATATAATGACCTGCATTTTTCTCATTTATTTTATTCACCTTACATCATTGTAGCCCCTTTCCTCCTCCCCTACCCTCTCTCCCTCTCTCTGCTATTTTCCTCAGAAAAGGGAGCTCCACTTCTCATCCACTCCAGTTCATCAAATTGTAAGAGGACTGAATGAGCCCTCTTCCCCTGTGGCCTGTCAAGGCAGTTCTGTCAGGGGAAAATGACTGAAAAGCTAGCAAGTGAATCCCTGTCTGATGCAGTCCCCACTTTCCTTCCTAGAGAACCCACATTAAGCTGTCCATCTGCTGCATCTTTGCAGGGGGGCTTAGGTTCAGTTCCTGCATGGTTCTTGGCTGGAGCTTCGGTCTCAGCAAGCCCCTCTCAGCCTTGCTTAGCTGGCTCTGTTGTTTTTCTTCTGGAGCGCCTGAAGAGCAAGGCAATTTTTTCTTGTTCTTTCTGTACTTTTTGCACCCTCCCATATATGAGTTACATTCAATTGGTCATTTCAGCATATTTCTCATATATAATACCGTGCTTTTTTCCTGCATGTGAGCGCACACATGTGGAAGCCAAAGGTTGATTTTGGATGGTTTTTTTCTTTCCCTATCATTTTCTATCCACTTTATTTCAAAATGTGTATTTATTTTATGTGTGTTGGGTTTGTGTGTACATAGACCTGCGTACCTCGTATGGACCTGGTGCCTACAGAGGCAAGATGAGAGTGTTGAATCCCCCGGAACTGGAGTTAAAGAAGGCTGTGAGCCTCCATGTAGAAGAGGAGTCAGCGCTCTTAAACACTGAGATCTCTTTCTGGCCCTCCTCACCTCACTTTTGAAAGAATGTCACCCAGTGAACGTGGAACAACTGATTCAGTTTGGTTAGCTAAACAGTGAGTTCTGAGTATTTTCTGTCTCTATTTCCCAGCACTAGGATTACAGGCAAGCACCACTATACCTGACTTTTACCTATGTGCTGGGAATCTGAAATTTGCAGGCAAATGGTGGGAACTAGAAAAGATCATCATCCTGAGTGAGGTAACCCAGAAGCAGAAAGACACACACGGTATACTCACTTATAAGTGGATATTAGACATATAACATAGGATAAACATACTAAAATCTGTACATCTAAAAAAGCTAAACAACAAAGAGGATCCTAAGTAAGATGATCAATCCTCATTCAGAAAGGCAAATGAGATAGACCTCAGAAGATGGAGAAAACAGGAAACAGGACAGAAGCCTACCACAGAGGGCCTCTGAAAGACTCTACTGATCAAGGAATCAAAGCAGAGGCTGGGACTCATTGCCAAACTTTTGACAGAGCACAGGGAGTCTTATGATAGAAGAGGGAGATAGAAAGACCTGGAGGGGACAGGAGCTCCACAAGGAGACCAACAGAGCTAAAAAAGTATGGGCCCATGGGGTCCTGCAGAAACTGATGAATCAACCAAGGATCACGCATGGAGAGGACCTAGAGCTCCTGCTCAGATGTAGCCCATAGACAGCTCAGTCTCCACGAAGGTCCTACTAAAGGGAACAAGGGAAGCTTCTGGCATGAATTCTGTTGCCTGCTCTTTGATCAACTCCCCCTGGAGAGATGGCCTTACTAGGCCACAGAGAAAGAGGATACAGACAGTACTGATGAGACCTGATAGACTAGGGTCAGATAGGGGAGGAAGACCTCCCCTATCAGTGGGCCGAGGGAGGGAGGAGGAAGAGGTAGGGAATGTGGAACTGGAAGCAGATGTGTGTGGGAGGGGGCTATAGCCGGTACCCAAAATGAATAAATTGTAATAAATAATAAAAAAGAAAAACAATCCTGATTTTTACAAACAAAAGTAATTTGCCTTCCAAGAAAGCAAATTACTTGAAAGACGTTTGAAGTTTACTTACATGGTACAATGTGGTTTCTGGCACTGGTGTGCCCATGATGTCTTGTCTTAGTGCATCCATTTGCAAACTAGGTAGCAATGAATAGTGAGTTGGGCTAGTGCTCTTATCACCCTTCTTTTTTGATTTCTTCCCTGTGTCTTTTTTGCTGTTTCTCTGAAACATGTATTCTTCTTGAGCAATTTTTTCATTGCTCATATATCGAAGCAGAGAGTTTTCTACATAAAAAGAGAAATATATTGATATAAATATGCAAATATATGAAATGTCCCATTATTTCCATATTGTGCCATAAGATTTCATTTCAGTACTTTAACTTGATTTAAATTACAAAATACGTAGTGGCAACACAATAGGACTTAATTATTTGGAATCATAAGATAATAAGACAGTTTTTGGATTACTTCTTTTGGTTTTCACACTGGAGATTTAACATCAAAATCAATTGTAGAACTTAAATTTAAAACTTTTTTTTTTTGATAGATAGCAAGTTTCACAGGAAAATTCTCCTAAACCTTGACGACAAACAGTAGCCTCCCACATTTTAGGTAACATTCTTGGAGAAGTTGAAGCCCACATTATGAAGTTAGTTCATAGACTCTTTCCTTAAATTAGTAGTTAGCATGCAATAGTTAATATACAAATTTCCCTCAGAATGTCACTATTATAAGAAGTCCCAAACAATAACTGAGAGATGGCATATGATAAGCATTTTTCTTTTTTATGATTTATTCAATAAAACTAATGAGATTAGATACTAAAGCTTGGAAAATGCATTTAATACATATATGTAATGGTATATGAAAGTCTTCTTGAACTTCTCAACATTTTTGAAATGTTCAGTCCACAAGTGTTAAGGAGACTAATGAAGCAGATATTTATGCTTGCTTGCCCATGTGGTCTGTGGATGTTTTATAGTTCCCTGGATAGAAACGATAAGTAAACGGATCACCCATACCATAAAGGAAGCTTAGATTATAGGAACAGTTTTTGGTTTTGTTGTCCATCTACAATTTATGGCTCTCTCCTGAAAGTGGAAGCAGCAGCATCAACACCTGGGCCACCCAAGCCACACTTGATTAAAGTCTAAGTCGTGAATGTTTCACTTGCTCTTCTTACTACTCACCTCAGTAACAGGCTAAGTGAATATAAAAACTTACTTTGCGTAGATACTTCAAAAGTAGCCCATTTTCATGTAAGAGAATAACCCTGAACAGCAAACAGAACAGAAGACCACAAGGTACCATTTCCCCCATTTCTAGATGGTTTTCATAAAGAGTCAGTCATTGGCTCAGTTTCCATTATTCATTTGTTTTAAAACTATGTGTTTCAGTGCTCATTGTGGGATTTCATCATACGAGGTTTCATGAAAGAAGTGATTTACCTTGCTGATTCATTGGGACTGATAACAAAACTGTTTCTATTTATTGAACTGAAATGAATTCTTTTATGCAGTTTCACACTTCTGACCTTGTTTTCAATTTATAAACATACATAATCTTTCTCTGTGTAACTAACTACCTGCCCAGAATCTCTTATAAAGCATTCATATAAGATACCTATTACTAATGGGTTAAGAGAGTCAAATGTTGGTCTGACTTCATTTAGTTGTACTGTCAGTCAATGATAGAGTATGTTTCTTCTGAAGCCATAACAATCTATTTAAAGAACATTTAAGTTTGCTTATCGTTCAAATTACCCATCCTACACTGAAATTCTAGAACACTTACCTCTTCTACTATCTCTCTTCATCTTATTTGGATCTTCATAGTCCCCCACCCAATTATATTCGACTGGCATAGATATAGGTCGTAGCTTGCCTAAACACAGAGAACAAAGTTCATATCACATTGTTTTTCTTCCCCAGGTAGGCTTATACTTATACTGATTTTCAGCTACAGTATACAAAACACACTCTCATATGCAACATTATGGTTGGCATGTGTGGATGAAGATAACGTGTGTTTTGAGCCAGAAGGTGAAACTGCCTCTGAGAACTGTCCAGATAATACTACTTTAAGGTATTTTTATAGATAATAAAGGATAGAGCATGGATATTAAAGGTAGATACTATTTTACAAAGAAGATTGTTGCTTTCATTTTTAGGAACTGATTTCAGTCCTATTCCCAACAATGTATCTCTTGGTCGTCACTTCCAAGGTGGCAGGTTCTTGTATTTAATCTTACTCTCCCGACATTAACCCATTGTTTCATGGATACTATCATAAACTAACTTAATTTTTCCTAAATGATACCACCATGCGTTTGGATGCTACTATGCCTTAGCAATATGGGGCTTCTGTTTTGTGGCCTATGTTTAAATCTAGTGTGCGTATTTTTTGATGCATTAAGCATGTCTGGTTTATAGAGTTATGTATTGTCTTGTCCAATTTCCTTCTGGGTATTTATTCTCACTAAACATCACATTGATTTAGCAAGCAGCAGCCATAGCAAAGACTTCAAGTATAACACTCAGGGTAAAGCAGTAATCAATTATTTTGTTCAACCTAAATTTCCTGAGGAACAGAATAGCCAATGAAAATCAAATCATTCAAAAGTTTTAAAAATTTACAGCATCTTACAAGAGATAGTAGTTTAATGAATTCTCTATCAATGAAAACCAGAAATATACACAGTCCTAGATCATAAGTATAATATGGCAGCCATCACAATAAAAGTACCTATAACCACTAACTGTAAGCCAGGAACCTTTCAAGAGTTTGGATTAGTGCTAATACTTATGAGGATTTATGCTTTTGCCATGAGAAAACTGAGACCCGTTAAGTTATGTGCCTAAGGAATCATCACTACTAAATGACTAATATCAGGATTCAAATCAAAGCATTGGAATACCAGTTGTGACATAATTTTTAATGACATTAATCAATTTCAAAGTACTATTTTATGTATTTTCAATAAACTTCCTATAGAACCACAAATTCAGCAATTCTTTCTCTTTTAATCTATTAATCTTACTACTTTTCAACATTTCTTAGCTAACTTCTCTTCTTCCTGTTCTGCTAACATAAATTTAATTATGAGTTGTTATAATCACTGCATGAATTAAATTTGATTTTTTGTCACTTAATTAGCATATATTAGACATAAAAACTAAGTTTACATTATATTTTTACACATGTAGATATGTTACTCTTATTTTCCTGCCCATTCCTTTTACATTCCTAGAAATCACCTTTTTACTTTCATGTCTTTTTATGTGTCAGTCAAAAATTTAGAGGAGATTTTAATTATACTTTTAAGGAAAACATAGCAACTTTATGCCTTCTAATTATCTGCACAGGTATAATTTATTTAATCTATTTTACTAGGCTGTTTTAAAGTTTGAGGATAAATTAGACATGATAAAGTTATTAATGAGGCAATGACATGGTATTATTTAATGACATCTTTTTAAGGTGTGCAATTGCCTTTATAAATGGTCATTTATGATTTAAAGACTTTTAGGGTAAGCATGTGAGGAAAAGTCTTTGAACAATTTCAATTCCATTGCTTAATGCTTTATGTCCCCCAATTTTTCTTTTCTTTTTTTAAATTAATTTTTTATTAATTATAGTTTATTCACTTTGCATTCCAACTGTAGCCCCCTCCCAATTCTACCCTTCCTCCCTCATCTCCTCTCATGCCCCTCTCCAAGTCCACTGATAGAGGAGGTCCTCCTCCCCTTCCCTCTGACCTTAGCATATCAGATCTCATCAGAAGTGGCTGCATTGTCTTCCTCTATGGCCTGATAAGGCTGCTCCCCCCTCAGGGGGAGGTGATCAAAGAGCAGGCCAATCAGATTATGTCAGAGACAGCCCTTGTTCCCCTTACTAGGGAACCCACTTGGAGACTGAGCTGCCATGGGCTACATCTGTGCAGGGGTTCTAGGTTACCTCCATGAATAGTCCTTGGTTGGAGTATATAAGTGCTACATTTCAAAATACTTACAACTAATTCTTTTAGGGTTTAGTTTTAAATATAAATTTCACTTTAGCAATGCACATCAAAACTAAAGCAGCTAAGAGTGTCTTTATGTACCACCAAGAAAAGCTTTTAAAAACTAAAAATCTAATAAATCAAGATTATTCATTTACTGTCAAATAAATGGTAATTTGATAATTATTAAAAAAAAACATGTTTGGTGGTTTTAAAAGCATTAGTTGTCTGGAGCCAAGTATCTGTACAAGACAAGCAGAAACATACAACACACATAGCATAGAAAATACATAATTGGAGGTGATGGGGGAGGGTGCTACAGTCGGGATACAAAGTGAATAAATTTTAAAATAGTAACAACAATAATAATAATAACAAAAATTCCAATATAAAAATAAAACAAATTATCAACCACTTAATGGTAAAGAATAAAATTTTGTATTTGTCATATCAAAAAAAAAAAGAAAATACATAGCTGTTCCTTGTATTTTGGTAATATACAAGATTCTAACAGAGTTATATATGACTTTTAATACTGATTTTCTGGGAGTCATTGTCTAACCTAATTATACTGTACATTGTTAACTCAAAATTAAAGGATAATTACAGTAACTTAGAAAAATGCTCAGAAAAGAATTAATTAAAATTCCTTTTTGGGGAAAATCAGATGTGCTGGTTGATTTTTGTAAACTTGACACCAACCTAGACATAAGGAGAAAAGTGAATCTTTTTTGTTTGTTTCTTGTTTTTCAAGACAGGGTTTTTCTGTGTAGATCTTGCTATCCTGGGACTCACTTTGTAGACCCACATGGCCTAGACTCACATAGATAGGATCCACTTGCCTCTGTCTCCTGGGTGCTGGGAATAAAGACATGTGCCACCACACCCAGCACAAGAAGATAAAAAAATTTTTTTCTTTTCTTTGAAAAATTACTGAAACTCTATTTTACTACCTTTTTAATAGATTTTTATTCTAGCTGACAAACCAGTATTTCAAAAGGTGCAATGCCTCAGATTTCTAGTCACCCAGCCTGAAAGTTTATTGTTACAGAAGTAAAAATGAATAATACTAAAGATGAGGACAGTGATTACCATTCACAGTAACTAGGAGCAAGTGCGGATCCCTCACACAAAACTGATAGGAGATGAGAGGGGTTAGATTGATGTACAAATCAAGACAGAAAAAAAAAATCAGCACTCAGTTTAGTGTAGGATAGTTGGTTCAAAGTACGGAAAATTCTAGGAATTCAAACTTCAACTTCCCTTTCCAACTGCTCTCTCCCACCCTGAAGAAAGGAATCTTTTTTTTTTTAACCCAGTTATTTTTTTTTTTGAAAGAAATCTTAAATTTCAAAATGTCTCCAAAAGATTGGCCATTAGGCAAGCATGTAGAATTTGTTGTTGGTGATTAATGTGAAAAAATTCAGCCCCCTGTGGGTTGTGCCATCCCTGGGCAGGTGGTTCCAGGATGTTTAAGAAAGTATGTTGAACCACCCGATAAACAGCTGTCTTTAGTGACTTGTTCTTCTATTCCTTCTTCCAGGTTCCTGCCTTGAGTTCCTGCCCTGACTTCCCTTAAGAATGGACTGTGATGGGGATCTGTAAATTGAAATAAACCCTCTTCTAGCCAGTTCCTTTTGGTCATAGTGTTTAATGATAACAATAGAAATCACAGTTGTGCTATTATTAGAAAATATAAATCTGAGAAAACGCCAAATTAATTTCCCAAGTGGTCCTACAAGTTTACATTCCCACCAGCAATGCAGGAGGGTTCTCCTTTCTCCAAATCCTCTCCAGCATGTGTTATATTAGCCATTCAGATGGGTTTAAGGTGAAATCTCAGGGTTGTTTTGATTTGCATTTCCCTGATGACTAATGAACATTACTTAAGTGCTTCTCCACCATTCAAGATTCCTCTGTTGAGAATTCTCTGTTTAGCTCTGTACCCCATTTGCTCAACCATGTTCATAGCAGCTATATTTGTAATAGCCAGAACCTGGAAACAACCCAGATGTCCCTCAACGAAGGAATGGATATAGTAATTGTGGTACATTCACACAATGGAATAATACTCAGCAATTAAAAACAAGGAAATCATGAAACTTGCAGGCAAATGGTGGGACCTTGAAAAGATCATCCTGAATGAGGTATCCCGGAAGCAGAAAGACACACATGGTATATACTCACTTATAAGTGGATATTAGACATACAATATAGGATAAACATACTAAAATCTGTACACCTAAAGAAGCTAAGCAATAAGGAGGACCCTTGGTAAGATGATGAATCCTCACTCAGAAGGGCAAATGGAACGGACATTAGAAGAGGGAGAAAACAGGGAACAGGACAGGAGCCTACCACAAAGGGCCTCTGAAAGACTCTACCCAGCTGTGTATCAAAGCAGATGCTGAGACACTTAGCCAAACTTTGGGCAGAGTGCAGGGAAACTTTTGAAAGAAGGGGGAGATAGAAAGACCTGGAGGGGACAAGAGCTCCACAAGGAGAGCAACAAAACAAAAAAATTCTGGGCCCTGGGGTCATTTCTGAGACTGATACTCCAACCAAGGACTATGCATGGAGATAAGGTAGAACCCCTGCATAGATGTAGCCCATGGCAGCTCAGTGTCTAAGTGGGTTCTTTTGTAATAGGAATAGAGACTGTCTTTGACATGAACTTAGTGGTTGGCTCTTTGATCACCTCCTCCTGATGGGGGAGCAGGACAGAGAGAAAGACAATGCAGCCAGTCCTGATGAGATCTGATAGGCTAGGGTCAAAGGGAATGGTAGGAGGACCTCCCCCATCAGTGAACTATGGGAGGGGCATGGGAAGAGATGAGGAATGGAGGGTGGAATTTGGAGGATAAGAGGGGGCTACAAAGTGAAT